CTGCGGGCCTTGCAGCCCGCATCTCCCCTGGCTTCCCTACTGCCACGGCCGCCCCCGCCGCCCCCGCCGCCCCAGCTCCGAAGGCGTGCGCCCAGGCCGCCATTACGCACGCGGATAACCGTCTCCAACCGCCGCGCCGGCCCTCCGGCCTCACAGCGGCCACCGCCCTCGCGGCGCCGGCCCTCCCCGGGCCCTGGACACTCACCTCCGCCGTACCGCCCGTAACGCGACATGTTGACCGGCCCGTGTGCTCTAGTCGTTCGTTTGCGGAGCTCCGGGTTCCAGTGGCTGAGAAACTACCGCCCGCCCTCCCCCGCCAACGGTCCCAGCGGCACTACGAGGAAGAGCCCGGCTTCGTGCTTATATACGCAGCGCGCGCCTCTTTGCGCATGCGTCATCTCAACGTTTTTGCGCGGCACAAAGGAGCTGGGCGGAAACAAACGCGAAGCGGCGCGGAGGGAATTTAACAGTTCCGGGCGCCGGGCGCCGGGCGGAGGGATACGTTACCATGGGAACGCCACGGGCTCGCTTATAAACCCATGGCTTGCCCCGCGACATCCTGCCCCCCCCACCCTTCCCCTCACCCTTTTTGTGAACCCTTGTGGTGTTCGTTCCATCCCCCCCTACCTTTTCGCCCCTACCCTTTTTCAGTTTTCCCTAATTTTGGAACCCTCAGCTCTGGCGGTCTCGGTACAGGTGCATTAGACCCGCTTATGAAAGGCTGTGCAATTTAACTGCTGATGTTGCGGCTGCCGCCGCTTTTCTGTTGGCGAACCTGGCTTGATCTACTACTCTGATCTGTGGGGCTGTTCAGAGGTAATCGGGAGCGTGAGCAGGATTCAGACTCCCCGAGCCCGCCATTCGGAACGATGATCTTTGCACCTTAGGCCTCATAAAGGGGTGGCGCCCCCGGACTCTGAGTAAAAGCCTCCCCTCGCCCCGCCCACCCTCCAGCCTCTTCTGGAGTCACCGATTTGTTACCCATAAGGTTGGTCTGAGTTGTTGGAATCTGAGGGACAAAGGAAGAGAGTTGCGGGGGCTTTTTTTGCTGGTTCCTGGAAATGAAATTATTTGTATCTGAAGCGCAAAGTACTGATTTTCCCTTCTAGTGCTTTCTGCTTTGTATTATAGTAACATCACACCCACTAAGGCTCAGGTCCTGAGGACTGGGATCTTCTGGTCATCTTTGAATGTCTCCCCTTACTGGAGGTAGCACCCTTACTGCTCAGCAACTCAATATATATCAAATAAATGAAAATCGTTTTTTAAAAGTTGCTTACAATTGCCAGGCATGGTGGCACAGGCCTGTAATCCCAGCACTCGGGAGGCTGAGGCAGGAGGATCTTTGCGAGTTCAAGACCAGCCTTGAGCTCAAGGCCAGCCTGAACTGCATAGTGAGACCCTGTCTCAAAAAGACAAAAGAAAAAAAGGAGACAGGCACTTGATAAGCTAATTGTGTATTATCCCTTTTAAAGCAGGACCAGTTCTCAGCTGGGCTTCGCTAACTCATGAAAAAAATGATAGTATTGTACACTATTTCCATATGTTACTATTCCGTATGCTCCTTCCCAAGAACATACAACCAATCTGTTCACTAAAAGTCAACCCAAATCAGGGAACTTATATTATGCAGAATACTTTTATTCCTGCTGATTCTCTTTAAAGTCAGCTTTGTCACTGTAATTTTTCTAAAAGTTTATGTTAAGCTCGTGTTCCCAAATTCAGTTTGAATGAGATAACTATTTAATTCAGTTGTATAAACACTCTGGTATTTCCTAATATGAAATATTGAGTAATTCTGAACACGTTGTAGTTATTAAATCTTGGCAATGTTATTAGTTTTAAAAAGGGAGAGTGATTAACACTCTTTTTACATCAATTTTCAAAATTTATCTGCATTTCCTAGCTTCAGTATTTTGGGAGAGGCATTAAAGAAGTTCACTTTTTAATCCTACTGCCCTCACCATTTTAGTTTCACTTTTAAGTTGTCACCATTTTAGCTTAGATATGAAAGCCTTAGAACAAGAAAAGTAATTCTTTTGCACAAGTATCTATTTTTAATACAGAGAAATTATGATCAGCTATTGTAATATGCACTTTTGTATGTATACATTTATATAATATGCTGTGTATGTACTGTAAGTTGATCCAAGCAGCCATGTTTGACCACAGCTTGCTTGCTTTTTGACGTGATCATCTGATCCCTCCAGCATACAGTGAGGAAATTTTGGGAAGGAAAAGTTACAGAGGCATGTTTATAAATCTTTCATACTATATAAAAGACTAACTTCTCACCAGCCAGGTGCTGGATTACAATCAAGACTGAAGTAGGAGAGATGGAGAGAGCAAAGAACTCCAAATCTTTGACCACCTTTAGGGAGTGAAACTAGCTGGGGGTGGTGGTGCAGGCCTGTAATCCCAGCATCTGGGAGGCTGAGGCAGGAGGATTACCATAAACTCAAGGCTGACCTGGGCTACACAGTGAGTTGAAGACCAGCCTGAGCTACATAGCAAGACCTTGTCTCAAAGAAGCAAACAAACAACAAAACAAGCAAATAGAAAGTAAAACTAGGAAGAGGAAAAACATGATGTAGGAGTGCCCCACTGATCAAAATACTACTTAAGTGGGCAGTATAGTACTGTAAAATAATCTGGGGAATTGTGACATTTTTCTGACAAATGTCTTCATTTTATTAAAAAGTATAAAACTAAGCCAGGTGTGCTGGGCAAGATGTAATCCCAGCACTCGGAGGCTGAAACAAGAGGATCACTGCTAATTTGAGACTAGTTCAATGCCAGCCTGAAGTATACAGCGGACCCTGTCTCAAAATGCCAAAAAAAAAGAGAAAGAAAAACAGAATTTAACATGCATAGACTTGCTTGGGGTGCTGGTAACATACAAAGTGGATTCCTCAGACACCTAATTTATTAACTGGCTCTAGGATGTGGCACTGGGACAAAGCTCAGTGAGACAGAACCTGCCCGGTGTACACTAGGCCCTGGGTTTGACCCCAACAGCAGGAAAAAGAGAGAGAGAGAGAAATACTGTTTAAGACCATTGTTTTCCCTTTGATTCTCCACCCACTGTTCCTTACTCAGGACTGAACCCAAGGCCTTTGAGGTACAGCTCCACCCCTTTTAATTTTGAGGCAGAATCTCACTAAATTGCCCGGCCTGGACTCCAACTTGTGATCTTCCTGACTCAGCCTCTGGAGTAGCAGGGATTATAGACACATGCCACTACACCTGGTTCATATTTTTTTTTATTAAAAAAGTTTGATCCCTGCCCCACCAATATTTTTTTTTGTCTTTTTTTTTTTTTTTTTTTTTTTTTTTGAGACAAGGTCTCACTGTGCAGTTCAGGCTGACCTCAAACTCACAAAGATCCTCCTGCCTCAGCCTCCCAAGTGCTGGGATTACAGGGGTGCACCACCATGCCCAGCTCCCATCAATAATTTGTAGTCCTTTTCAATCCAATCTATTTAGTTTACCAAATCCAAGCATGTAGAATCTCAAGTAATGAACAAAGCATGGGGTTATTCTATTAAAAACAAATAAGCAAAAACAGAAAAAAGTTTATGAAGAAGAAAAAGCATCTATGTTCACTAATCAGGAAAAGCAAGCCACTCTGTTCTCTCTTGCAGTGGTTGGCTCTCACCCTACAAAGTGTACTTTTTTTTTGTCTTCTTGAGACAGGGTCTCGCTATGCAGTTTAGACTGGCCTTGAGCTCACTTTGTAGCCCAGGCTGGTCTCAAACTCACAAAGATCCTCCTGCCTCAGCCTCCCACGTGCTGGGATTACAGGCGTGCACTACCACACCTGGCTTTTTTTTTTTTTTTTTTTAATACACAGGGTCCTACTATGCAGTTCAGGCTGGCCTTAAACTCACTATGTAGCCCAGGCTGGTCTCAAACTTGAAGTGATCCTCCTTGCCTCAGCCTACTGAGAGCTGAGATTACAGGTGTGTGCCACCATGCTCAGCCCCCTACCACACAAGTGTAGTATACATGTGTCTTGCTTATATTTTTATTATTTTTCTATTATGATCTGCATTACTCATTTTTTTTTTTTTTTTTGGTACCTGGAATTGACCTCAGGACATTGCTTGGCAGGCGGGTGCTTGTGCCACTGAGCTATATCCCCAGCCCTTGATCTGCATTACTCATAATAAGAAAAATTAAATGTAATCTTACTTTGAGAAAGACTATACATTTTTTGTTTAAGACAGTCTTGCTATATAGTGCAGGCTGGCTTTGAACTCATTTTGTAGACCAAGCTAGCCTTAAACTTGCAGTAATCCCCCTGTCTCAGCTTCCCAAGTGCTGGGATTATAGGTGTGTGCCACCATGCTAGGCCCTTATTTTGAAAAAGGAATACAGATATTTTAATTGGAAGTAGTAGTAGATGAATTGAGATAGTTAATACAGTAGAGGGAGAATCCAGCATCAGTAATACTCCCTAACTCTTAACTTTGTTGGCCCTCAGAAGTGAGATTACATGGAAGATAGGGAGGAGCTTTCATTTTTTAACTCTATAACATTCTTATTAATTTTTAATGTTGATTATTCATTTAATTATTAAGTTTTTGGTTTATGCCTTTTAAACAAATATATTACTTTTGTAATATTTTTTTTTTCTTTTTGAGACAGGGTCTCACTATGCAGCTCAGGCTGTCCTTGAGCTCAGTTTGTAGCCCAGGCTGGTCTCGAACTCACAACGATCCTCCTGCCTTAGCCTCCCTAGTGCTGGGACTACAGGTGTGTGCCACCACACCGGCCATGGCTGGTTTTTTGTTTTGTTTTGCTTTGTTTTTTGTTGCTGTCTTGGTGGTTGTTTTTTTTGGATTTTGAGACAGGGTCTAACTATGTGATCCAAGCTGGCCTTGAATTTATTATGTTCCTCAAACTCACAAGTACTGAGATTACAGGCATGCACAGCCATGCCTGGCTGATTTTTTTTTTTTTTTTTTTAAGTGTCTTGTTATGTAACCCAGGCTGGCTCCAAGCTCTTGGTGATCTTCCTGTCTCAGCCTGTGGAGTTCTGGGATTACAGGCATGTGCCACTATGCCCAGTTTCAGATTAAATATTTGTAACTAGCATATAGTTTTGATGTATTACTGAATATTTTGGCCAGCATGACAACCTTTTCTATGGAAAAATAGTCCCCAGCCATTTGTGTCTTGAAATATTTGCAAAGGACAGAGACAGGCTGGTGTAGAAAGTACTTACTCACAATGAATGTTCCAGGAGGGTTTTGTTAAAAACACTTTCCCTTGCCACTGCCTACTTGTAGAAGAATCTGGTTGTGTTGTTGTTTTAAGGTGCTGGGCCTTGAACCCAGGCCTTACAGTGAGCTATATCCCCATCCCTTTTTATTTTTTATCTCAAAGCAAAGTCTCCATCAATTGCTAAATTGCATAGGCAAGGCTGGAATTTGTAATCCTCTTAGAGTGCTGGGATTGCAGGCAGGTGCCACCATCCTTGGCTTTTATTTTTTCACTCATTTATTCATTTATTGGTGTGGGTTTTTTGGTTTTTTTGAGAAAGGGTCTCACTATGTGACTGAAGCTGGACTTGAACTTACTTTGTGGCCTAGGCTGGCCTCGAACTTGAAGGGACCCTCCTGCCTCAGCCTCCTGAGTGCTGAGATTACAGGTTTATGCCACCATGCCCTGCAATTTATTGGGTTTTTGAGACGGGATCTCACTATGTTGCTCAGACTGGCCATGAACTCAGGAATCTTCTGCCTCAGCCTGCTAGAATGCTGCAATTATAGGTGTGTGCCACCATGCCCAGCTTGGGCCATTTTTTTAAA